TGCCCCACGGCAGGGGGCGCAGGCGCCTCCCCGTCACGCTGGGCCCTGGTTGCCGGTCCTCCCCCCTGTCCCCCAGGGCTCCGGAGCGAGCACGGAACCGCTTTTCTCTCTGCCCCGCCACAGCGCGCGGGAGTTGTGCCTCAGGGACCCCTGCAGTGACTCGCGGCAGCTCTTCCCCTGCAAGACGCTGTCACGAAGGAGATTCCTGCCCCTCCCCTGTCCTCACCACCCCCTCGCTTACCTGGGGAGCAGGAATTAGTGTGAAGCCATTACTTTGTCAAACAGCTTTTAAAAACCAACTGCATAGGTTTGGGCAAGCCACGGTGCGTCTTAGGGCTTTGTAATTTTTGTTTTCAAATCCAGAATAGCTCTTTAGCAACATTTGACAGAAATCATTTAAATATTTTAGAGTGTGTAATGTTCACTGAGATTGCTTTGGACTAAAGCGAGGTATAAAGATAATAACGACTCAATGGTACAAATTGGAAACAACTTAGAAGTGAGAAAAGGGAAGGTGTTTTCGGAGTGAGAGGGCCTGCTCTGAGCGTTGAGTGCCACCGAGGCAAATTTCAAAGGACGATTCCACCAGGCTGCGTCCTTTCACTTAACAACCAGCCTGTGTTTTCTGCAGTGGCAAAACAAACACTGGTGTGGAAACCGCAGCAAAGTTCGTTCCTGTGCCATGGAGTCTCGAGCAAATTATTCTGAAGCACAAATGTTGCACAGGTGCAGATCTGGCTGATGGAAAGAATTTCTCCAAACTGTTGGCCTGGAAAACTGAAAGCAGCAGTGACGGTTCATCGTTATTAAAGAACAGACTGGGGTCCCCATCTCATGGCCTTTTTTCGGTGGGATCTCTGTCTCCATGCTGTACCTGACCATCACCCTCGTTGTTTTCATCCATCCACACTGCAGAGATGCCTCCAGCAGCATCCCGGCAGGCAGGAATTCGCCTCACCTCAAGCGCCCCGTGGAGCTCGGCTGCCCCAGCGCAGTTTATTGGGATTTTGCGGCTCCTGAGTAGGTATTTAAATCCTAGAGATGCTACCGCTGACATTTCAAGAGGAAAAGGTCACGTGTGTTGAACATGTAAGTTGTTTTTATTTGACTTACTAAATAAATTTGTCCAGCAAGTTCGGGCGGAACCTGCGCCTTTCCAAGCGGTTACAACAGAGGTGGGCGCGGGCTGGGGCTGCCG